TTGTCCTCCCCGCCTCCCATCACCCTTGATTGGTCCACCACCCAGGTCCCTCCTCCAAGACCCCAGCAATCACCACACCTGGTTATAAAATCGCTTCTGAACTCTCAGTCAGGGCAGCTGGGATTTAACAGGAACAGTTCGCCGAGGTGCCTCTTGTTTAGTGTTACAGTGTTTTCTGTGTTCAACCATAACTTCTGTTAACAGCTGTTAACTTTGTGTAGAAGCTACTCGTGTCTTAGTGAAGACTGTGTCTGTTGAAAAGTTACTTGTGTCTTGTGGGGTTTTTTTTTTGTTTGTTTTTTTTAAAAAGTGTTTTGAGGCACTTGCTTATTTAGTTTCTTTTGTTAGGTGTGGGTGTTGCTATTGGATTTAGGTTTGGTTTTATTTGTTTCACTGATTTTAGTAACATCCACCAATTTTCTTTGTATTATTAACGTTTTTTTATGTTACTGAGCAATAAATTGCTTTACTACCACAACAACTGTTTTTTGTTACATCCAGCTGACCCTAGAAGCTGGATGTAATAACAGTTAAAAGTTCTTTAGGTTCAAAGGAATATTCAAAAAGTTGTAGTTTTAGTTCATGATTTAGTTCCTAAGACTGTCTGGTTTAAAAGGATCATCTGTCTACGCAAAAATTCACGGACAAAGCTTAATGTCGACCTGCGTTTTCTGTTAAAAATAGTTACTTTATGTAGGCTTCCGTGCTGCTGGGTCCTTTGAGCTGGTCTTCCATCAGGTACGTGTTGTGTGAGGAGGAGATGTAGTAATGGTTGAGGGGTTGGCTCATGTCCTGGTATACTGGTATGTGGGCTGGGTTGAGGATGGATCCCTCCTCGTTGTGCAGGTACATCAAGAAGCCGTCTTTGGTAAAGTGCTTCTTCTGCTTTGCTGTGAGGATAGAAAGAATGCAAACACACATGATGGACATGATAAGAGTGTTGGTGACCTACTGAACAAAGCTCTGATAATATGTTTACAGTGCACATGATCCAGTTTCAATTGAACTCTACCTGTTTCATCCACCTCGTATTTCTCGATCAGCTTGTAAGCGTCCTCTGCCGTCGCCTGCTCCCTCTGCTCATTCAGCAGGAAGTTGAGCAGGTCACTGACGCTCATCTGGCCCTGTGTTTGAGCATAATTGCTGTAGATCACATCTATCTCCTCGCGGTGAGTCAGCAGGTCGTAGAAGTGCCTGATCTCTGCGCCTTCAAGGGAACCTGAATTGGACTTGTCACATTTCTGTGCAACACAATGAGTGACATTTAGTCAAACAGACACAAAAGGATTGTGATCACTAAATATGCTCAATGTCATAGATCGTTAAAGAATTTCCCAATATTGTTTCACCTTAAAAATTTCCTCTGCGTAGGTGTCATCGACCTCAACGTTGATCTGTCGCAGGAAGTGCTTCAGCTCCTTCAGCGTCATCTTGTTGTCCTCGTTCTTGTCAGCTTTCCGCATGCAGTTGATTATCCAACTGGCATTTAGATGTAAGGATTTGGTTTGCACAAGAAACAACTTTAAAACTCTTGACACGCAAACACATTTCCCTTTTGAAGGACTTTGTTAAGGATACTGCTCACTCTTCTGCTGGCGGTTGAGGTTGCCGATGGTTTTCTTAACCTTCTCCAGGCTGCTGACCCACCGACTCGCCTCCTCCTCGTTGGGTGCCATCAGGTCCAGATTCTTCTTGTGGCCCTTGAAGATGATGGAGAAGCATTTCTCTTCCACACTGGAGTCGGTGTGTTTTTTGAGGCCCTCAGACTGACGGCCTTTGCGCACTGATTCAATGTCATCGATGGAGACTGTTTGGAGAAGAGGGTGATTGTTAGGACCACAGCTTTCAGTCAGTTATCCTTTGACGATCAGTCCTTCCTTAGACAAGTCGGTATCTTACGGCAGCAGAGCTTTTCCCCCTAACAGAAACCGTTTTTACATCTTATCAACAGGAAGGCTTTTGTTTTCTGTGTGGCAGTTTACTTCTGTGGCCTCGCTTACATGACTACAGCAAAACATCTATATCCCCTGAACAAAAGCCTTTAACTAAGTGAGGTTTTTATGCTCAAAACAGTTTAATGTGATGTAGTAATGACTGATTTTGGCTACATGGGGGCAGCAGACTAAACAAAAACTGCATATCACCTGGTACACTGTGGTGAATGTGCATTATTATTACATTTTTGTTGTATTTTTGGCCATCCGATGTACGATCTTCGATATCTTTTCGTTGTTTTAGCAGCTAAACACTTCACTGTGTGCACCAGTTACTCACAAGTCTATCTGTTGTTTGGCACAGTGTGGGCAGTGTACAGCATATGAGGGCTTTATCAGTAAAAACAGCTGTCTGTTGCTAAAAATAGAGGTAAGGGTGAACCACAACAGTAACTTTGCAGGCCATAAAGCCGAAACAGTGAGTTGGAAGATACTAAAATTCTCAACAGAGTTCAGAGGTCATTACACATAAGATGAAAATACTAATTAGAGCAACTTTTTCTTGATGACAACAGCAAATATTTTTCTTCCATTCTAGCGATTCCAGTGAAGCTCCTGTAAGAAAACTGGTGAGATACGTAGTTGCTGCCAAACACATGACAGAAACTTGTTTATCAGAAACTGAATTGAGCAATTTTGTCCAAACAGACTTAAGATTTAAGAGTCCTTTGAGGGCTCAGAGATGGTTGCTCCAGCATCGTGTTGTTATCTGCTGATGCTTTGGCAACCAAAACACATTCCACGGAGATTTCATTACTGCACTTTACAGCAGTTTGAAGCAATCTGGCCTCCCCTTGATCTCCTTGTCTCACAAACAGGCAAACACGGGCAACGCACGCGCTCATAAAAAGCTTCAATCAATGTCTTTATGGCTACAAATATTTTATCACCCAAACAAAGACAACATACACTGCAGGTCTGTGCACACGCAGCCTAGTTAGGCCCATACGTCGGGGGCCAGCTCTTTTGTCGAGCAGCTTAATGTACGGAAGAGCATGCACGGCCACGCATGATGTAATCACGCTAAATGGCAACAACCGCCCTTGTAACAAAACACCAAAGACTACAGGCTTAGCTAAGAGGCCATATGTCATAGCTGGGCTACAATCACAGTGTTTCTACCCTTTACATCCCAAATCTAGGGAGCCTCATAAAGAGCGACAATTGTTCCTCTGAGAATCAGAAACTATTTGGAGCAGGATGCATCTAAAGGTCAGCCTAGTTGGAAAAGAAAAACACACCACTTGAGGGGGCGGTGTGGCAAAACACACCCAAGTTGTTCAAACCCAACCTCAGCTGACTCCTCAGTGAACCAAATACCTTGAACGCGCTCACCAGCAGGGGTGTGTTTGTTTAATCTGTGCGTGCACGCATTACCTCAAATAAAACCGAAGAGAGGGCAGAGGTTGTGAATTTGGACCAGTTTCAGAGAATCCAGTCTGGACGGACTCACCACAATGTCCAAGACATGTCATCCGTGTCACGCAGGCATTGCTTGAATACCACATGAAATTTTACACAAAGACAGTATTGTGCGAGCCCAACAAAGTTCATGCTGCTGTTTGGAAAAACTCCTTTTTCTCCACAGGGAAGAAACAGACAAGATTCAGTAGTCAGAGGAAGTGTGAGGTTAGAAGGCTGGTTAGAAAGTCATAGCGGGTGTAAAAACTTAACCTTCAGGTTAATATTCAGCTTGTCCTTTACTGCAGCATGAGCTTGAAAATGACACACGGAATGCACTTTGAGGAATAGAAGGACAACACCTACTTGCTCTATCGGTTGGATTCGTGTGAGCCCATGTTTAGTCAAATCATGATCTGATAAGTCTGTAAAAATGACCTCACAACTACCTGAAGTGAACCTGAGGGTGTTTCTTTAGGTGCATGAGTGATAAGTGTGAGAATAAAAAAACACTGGACGACATTAAAAGAAGACTGATCAATAAAACAGAGATATACAGAGATGTATTGGCAGTAACAAGTAATGCTCAGGAGTGGATCACTTTACTGTCATTCCCTGATTGATTATTGATGATTTACAACAATTACATATATACTCATGTTGGACTTAGTATCACAAAGTCATTGTTTGTGGAGAAAAGATAAACATCACGTTGATTAATGAAATAGTCAAGTGATGCCAAAGTGATCTGCAGCTATTTGGATAATCAATATGTTGCATTAGGTATTTTTAAAGCAGAAATGTTAGAACTTAATTTTTAACTCTGATACGATGATGTAGTATAATTTTTTGATAAAACTACATTTTTGTTTATGTCAGCTTGGGCTTTGGGAAGTTATTATGGGAATTTTTAAACAGTTTTATGCCATTTAAAGAATAAAACAAACACTTGGCAGCTGCAACCCCAACCAATAGCTTCTAATAATCAAAAAGGTGTGTATGTTTGTTTATTCGTGATTCAGATATTTCCTGATCTAAACCTAAAAAATAAAACGTTTTTAGGCCTATTTTCAAGAAAGAAAAAAAAGCAGTTCACGCATTTTTATTGTTTGATATTGACAAGTGACGCCCAGACCTCCTGATATTGAGTCAAATACAGTCAAATTTATATCATAAGTTTAGCATACATGATCTGTCTTAGATATTTTGACACCTCTATAGTGAGACCTTCAATATGGATGAAGAAAAACTCTACAGAGAAGGGATCCTGCCTCCAGGGGGAACAGCAAACCAAAGGTAATGTGTATGAAATATAGGGTGAAGTAGGAGTCCTACAACAGCATGATAATAAACATCAGCCTCTATAGCTGTGCTATATCTTTGTGTTTTTCAAAGCAGACAAATTGTACTTCAGCAAAGCTGAGCAGCAGATGAATCTCGCACAAAAAGTGGCTAAAACAATACAAGCTGTCCTCCCACACTGTCTTACCTTAACCAAAGCTCTTTACAGCTGATTGGTAAATGTGGCTGCGCTAAAGCCCACAGGAAGGCAACAAAAAATGCAGCTTGTTCCTGTAAACAAGGAAATGACTGTGAACCAAAGGCCCATCTCTAAGCAAGTGTGGTCATGTTCAAAAGCAGCATGTTGGGGCAACAGGGTGGCCGATCGGTTCGGGTGCAGCGCCACATGGGTGCAAAAACCTTCAAGGAGCGAGTCCCTGGCTCGAATCCCAACCTCCCCCAGGCCTTTACTGCATACCATTTCTCTGCTCTCGCTCCCCACATTTCCTTTCCCTTTCCAATCTCTAATAAAGACAGGAATTCCAAAAAAGATAAGCTAAAAAAAACAAAACAGCCTGTTGTGCTCAGTGTTTGTTCAAGGCCGCGGCTCGGGGCAGAGGTTATCAGCGCTGGTAGCAGTAGCTGTAGCTATAGCTGCGATGGGAGAGAAACCTGAGCTGACCCAGAGATCATATAGACATTCACACTCTAATAGAGGATCGCTCAACCAGAAATCGAAGGAAAATAATCTCTCTCTCTCTCTCTCACACACACACACACACACACACATGGGCAAACATAAAGTCGGGATGCACACTCGGATTTTCCAGTCTGACTTTGGCCACACCGCACTATCTCTGCGTGCTGTTTCCATTCCACCGCTTATTCTCCACCACCAGTGGGATTTGAGGGGTGTGTTTGTGCTGTAAGGCAAGAAGCCATTGTTAAGACCTGAAAGGAGAGCTCCCCAAGTTGACAGAATAATAGGGAAAGGCTGCGCAGGTCAACAAGACAGGAGGATGTCGCCGGCACAAGTGAAATAACATTAAAGCTGAAACCAGGAGGCAACGCTTTTGTCATTTCTCCCATTTTTGTGCATGTTGTAAGTTAGTTTTTAGATGTTACTCACAGGTCTGATTTCGCCTGAAGGTCTTCTTGGACTCGTGCCACAAGGTCCTGCAGTCTTCCTGCAGTTTGTAGAAGCGATTCCTCTTCCAGGAGCTTGAGCGAATCTTGAGCAGCTCACCGCCGACCAGCAGGAACTGGAGATCTGGATCTCCCTCCAAACCTGCAGGAATGGCGACAAAACAGAGTCACAGAAATGAATTCAGACTACCAAGCTGTGTTAGATATCACAAGAAGAGTCCATATGGAGGAGAATTGTTATTACGTTTTGCCTTTTATAACATTTAATAACAACATGAACATAGCTTTATCCTTTAAGGAAGCCACTTATACAATCCCAATACACTTCAAAATAAAATAGTTTCCCATTCTTTACATCTTTAAGCAAACACTCCACAACTTTAAATCCATTTATAGCCCGAGTTGGGCTTTTATATGTGAAGTAAACAAAAATGTATCACGTTATGCTTCATATGTTAGTTTTTAATTTAGTTAAATATTTATTCATCTTCTTTGGTGTTTTAGTGGTTAACCGTAAAGCTAATATGCACACTTTCACATTGGTTTGATCATATTTTCATTGCAATATTGAACGATGTTATGTCGTGCAGCGTCTCTTTAACTCTCTGCAGCATACTGGGCAGCTTTAAATAAATGTGCAACAAAGGCCGATGTTTTAAATGCACTTGAAGCGCTTTATCTGGTCGGTTGTTTGATGTTGTTGCCAATTCCTCAACAAGTGCTTAAGTTTTATGCATTGTGTCCTTATGTGTTGAATTTTATTTACTTTTACTCTTTTGTTTGATGCTTTTATGTTCTTTTATGGATTAGATTGTATCTGTATGACTTGTTTAATGTATTGTGGGCTTTTGTGTTTTTTTGTGCCAAGACAAATTCCAATAAATGATGTTGACATGGCACTAAGCAGTGAATCTTGAATCTTGCAAGTGCCTCTCAAGTCTGAGCACAGTCAGCTGTTAACTCTGCCATCCTGTCAAAGTCATTTTGTTTCCCACACTACCTGTTCTCTTGCACTCAGCTGCACAACACACAACAGTTCAGACGTGCAGCGCCAGTGGCTTATCGTTGAGGTGCAGCAATATGCTGAATAAGGCTTTATTGGGAAGGGTGTGTAATGTCTGCTGAAAGAACGATTCGTAAGTCATGTAAGATGGTGCGCGAAACCGCAACAGGCACAACGCTGGTGAGCCAGTGTTTAATGTGTCTTCCATCTGTGCAGATATTTATGAAGCAATGCTAGTGTTTGTCAGTGTTTGTGGGTAGGATTATACACAGCCTGAAGTTTCAAATGATCGCTGAATGTGATACAACTGGGAAGCAAAGAGCATTTGAGGATAACTAACTACAACTCAGTTGGGAATGTGGGCAGGATCACAACATTACAGGCATTTTTTCCCCTCCAGATTGGACCACAAGCTCACAGAGGTTGTTTATGAGTCCCTGACCTCTCTGCAGACAGGGAGGAGGACCGAGCAGGGCAGCTCCAGAGCTCCAACACCGCCTCTGCTCTGTCAGGCTTTCTGACTTGGGGGGGTTTAACGTCGTAAGTCTGAAGTGGCAGTTTCTGCATTTTTGTCAAGTCCTTTTTCTTGTAATCTATTTTACCGTGAAGAAGAGAGTTTTTTTTGTGTTTTTTTTTTTTAGTCGCCCACCAGTTTTATGCTCAGGCACAAATATGTTTTTTTACTTGTGACACTTCCCAAATCATAAAAGTGAGTGAGTCACTTGTTTTCTTTTAGCAGAGTAATCAGTTTCAGATGCAAGGAACAGAAAGGAGTGATTTTGAACTTACAGTATGCTGTGAGGCAAGCTAGGGCAAGAAAATACCAAGAATTAGAGTCAAATGTCAGCGAGCGATGCCTTTGAGGCACAAGATAATGATAACGGTTCACACACACACATTCATTCTGACAAGAAGCCAGTGTTTTACAGTTGAGTACAACACAACACTCTGCTTTACACGTATTCACAATAAGCCACTAAATGTTAATTTGAGACTTTTTTCATGCAGTCACATTTAGAAAAACGTTGGCACACAGCACTGTGAATACAGGACCAGAGAGGCATGAAGTTCAAGCATTTACATTTCTCATATGACAAGTTTAAGGGGTGGCATTTGAATGTTTGATATGAAAGCAAGTCAGTGCAAAAACGTAACTCATAGGGGACGTTCTCTGGAGACAAAGAAAGGCTTTAAACTTTTCACAAGTACAGCTGTTGACACTGAATATTACTTCACTCTTCCCCTTGGGGAAACTCAAGATAACAGTTTATCTATATTATGCCAGAATGGAAGGAAGAATTTCCCCTCATATACTCTCTTGTAGTTTCCCCTACTCAGATTATGACAGTTTCCAAGTATTACTATGCTGTTCTCTATTTCAGGATGACTAATAAATATGGAAACTATATGCTGTTCTGTTAAAAACAAAACAAAACAGAGGATATAACCACATGATTTCCCCTCAGCACATAAAGTTTTTTGAGGTTTATGTTTGTCCCTTCGTTTGATAGACAGAAAATGCTATATCAAGTCACTTTCGACCACAACGTTCCCTGTGCTGCAGCCTTCTCTCACTTGTGATCGTGGCACAAAGCAAAGAATTCGTCGCTCCGGGCAACGAGGAAGCCATGTGTCGACATACTAAACATACTGTACGTTTCCTCCAGGTAACTTAAGTTTTGTCCTGCAAAGCTTAATTGTAATTCGGAATGATCAAGATTAAGATCCATCCAAATCCAGGTTATCCACACACCGCCCGTATGCGTCTGTGCGCGCCACTGCCTGTCTGTGTTGGCAAAATAACCAAAAGCGCGCGTCACCACTTGGACACATTTGCACCTTCAAGAAGACTCACCTAGGCGTTTTCCGTTCTCCTGCGCAACTTTTCTCAGCTGCTCCTGCAAAGCCTCTTCTTGGGATTTTGTCCTTTTCGGACGTTTGTGTAAACAAGACATTGCAAAGTAATTTTTTTTTTTTTTGACAATATAAAAAAAAAAAATATATATATCCAGTCGGTGTTTAATCTGTGCTCGGTGTGGAAGAGAAGCAAGCACCACCAAGTTTCCCCCTCATGGGGCGGGTCTAAACTCATCGACTGCACTGTTATAGTCGCTATATTCCCTGCAGCGGTGACTGTCCTTTGGTGCGTAATTTGGAGACGACTTTACGCACCGTGGGGGGAAGGTTTGTACAATTTTACTTAACGCTTCCTCTTCTTTTGTTACTAAAAATCTTACTTTAAGTGAGTATGACACCTGTGACTCAGTTATTTTAGACAATGACAACACTGTTCCTCACTCCAAGGATGAGTTTCTAGTATTTCAAAGAATAAAATAGACGCACGGGCTGCATTATAACTTTAAATGCACTAGTAGCTATGCACCAAAGCAGTTTTTGATTACTAAATATTTCTTTTTAAACTTTCACGCACACTTTTCAAACAAAATTAAAATCTGTAGCATACTCTACACGTTCCTCAGCCCTCACTTAACTCATGGGCTGTGAAATAGCGCCACCCTATGGAAGAAATAAAAGTGTAAATGTGATGGGATTGAGTTTAAAACAAAATTGAAGTGTTTCAATAGTCAGTCCACGGGGATAGATTGTACAATGAATCCACTTCATTCTTTAAAATATGTATGGCTCACTGGGCTTTACCAGAAAATACAGATTCTCTGGCTGTGGTTGGAAATTACAGCCAAATATGAGAGTGTGAAACCTGAATACCACCAACAGTCTCCTGCTTTATGAATCATAGCACTCTCCTGGCAACAGAAAACACTAAATAAAAGCAGGCCCGCACCCTGAATATCCAAAGGACACATTTGCTGTAAAGATAAAGCAGGAAAATGAAATTGGGAAGTGTTCCGCTGGTGGCAGAAAACCACCAGAAAACTGTTTCAAAGCAGAGTTTTGTTTCCTCACTTTCCCTTTTTAAAAGTCCCCCTTTGATTTGTCTGTTTGTTTTGAGAGTTACTAAAAAGAGCAAACTTGTAGTTAACAAATGAACATAATCCATTATAGGGCACTGATTAAGAAAAAAACCACTGCAGTAGGTGTGCTCTTGATTATATGTAATAAAGCTGTAAATCTGGGCTCCACCACTGACTGACTCACCGTGTTTTCCAGCTGTACCGTTTGGCTCCATTCTGATTACAGTCGAAATGAATCACCGTGCCAAAGTCCTCTTCTCCTTCCCCGAGTCGCTATTCGCCAAGAGTGATCCCAACCATAAAACTTCTCTGTTTGTTCTGTACGCAGGGGAGAATCCAAGCGGCGTCCCCCTCTGAGCTGACACGCAGCGCGCAGTTAACCCATCAGCCTCTTATATGCTCTGAGTCCACACCCACAGCAACACCGGTCTGACAAGTATGCCACTGTGTCTGCTCTTATGACTTTGATTCAGCTCCCTGAAGTGGAAACTACACCTTTGGAAGGAATTCTACTAACACTGACCAAAAATAAACACTTGCACAAGGTCCAGTGTTGGTACATTTGTGCTGTATTGAGGCTTCACAGTGTTACAGTTACACTTGCCTAATGTTGTTGGTGACTTCATGTGGCATTCCTGCGCCTTAAGTATGATTTTAAGTGTGTAGGGTGTTGTCCCAGTCTGGTACAGACTTGCCATTTATACTGATTGTTTTACAGCATTGCAGTGGCTTAAAGTGTCAGTCCTTAACAGACACTTCAGCACAATGCTTGGATGACTGTTGATGAATGAAAATATAATACACAAACAAAGCAGATTCTGGTTATGAATAATCAGTCTTTTGTGGATGTAAAAATAATGCCTTTTCTGGTAGGATACTTTGAAGTAGAAGTTGGTAAACAGCGCTTGTGCTTCGGAGTCCTGTTCATTATTGGAATGTAATATATTAGGGCTCTGACAGATCCCTCTTTGTGCCTCTCTATTATCAGTGTCTGCCAGCTTGTTCTGTCCCATGAACTCTTGTGCTCCGGCAAGTCTTGTGGAAAAAAAAAAAAGCGCTTAGTCTGGCAAACCACGAGGAGGTACAAAGTCAGCTCAACAATTGCCTCTTTGAGAATCCCACTTGAACGCTGCATGAGCTGATCAACACAGTCAAAGATTTTGTTTTGGAAGTCTTTGGATTCTTGGCCTCCTCAACAGCAACTATTGACTTTCATAATATAGTTTTGTGCAAGAACTAAGGGTTTGCATACAGACAAATGCTCGGCCTGGCCTCCACATTGTTTTGAAAAACGCTTTGCATGGCACAATCTGCTGAAACCATGAATCATTTCTCACGACCTGTTTGTAATTCTGCTTTGTACAAAAACAGCCAGCAGTTTTTTTTCATGGAAAAGAAACCACATGTGTATGACATGGACAATGCCACACCTTATTTGACAGTACAATATGCGGGTTGTGATCTTTGCATCTTGTTTCATGTGGGAGTCTGGCTCAGACTGTTTAGTGAAGCAGATGCTGGAGAATATCAGGAATTCTCATTAATTGGAAAATATCCTAAATAAGTAAAGTGAATTCATATTTGACCATCAGCGAAGTGTAGCATGTGTGTGTCAGTAAGAAATTCTGCTTAAAAACATTGCATTTTAAAAATCATGAGTTTAAGTTTCAGCACTTGAAGGGATGAGTTGAATGATGTCTTTGCATATTATTTGATATTAGCAACGTATTTCACAACCGAAACTAAATTTGATACATGCCATTAATATCAATGTATCTCATGAACATACTCTTGACATTCTGAAAAAAACACAAATCATTGCAAAGGATTCAAATAATTTGTTCAACTAATTTGCTGATCTGACTAACATTACATTCAATTAGAGGAAATTCAATTATTTTAATTATGTATCTACTTTTTTTTTTTTTCAATTAAGTCAGACAGTATAAAAACCTGTTTTTTTTTTTAGTTGATGTAATGTGCAGTATTTCATATTTTCACTTATCAGGTGTAATATTTCAGTTTTATGTATAGTATTTTATTTTTATTTGCAACATTTTGATCACATGTACAAAATGTAACCTTCATGTACATTTTCAGGTGCAATATTTGATTATTGTGTGTGCAATTACTTATTACCTCAGTGTTTAGATACATAATCAGCTCTTTGTTGTTCGATTGCAGCCATTGTTGTCTTATTTCATTTCAGTATTGTATCGTACTCATATCTTATTGATTTTCTACTTATTAAGGCACTATATTTCTTATGCTATGTCTTTGTTTTGTCTGAGAAACATTTGGCAAAAGGATTTCCTTCGAGATAAATCATTTTTTAAAATCTTTTCTTATCGAATCTTGTCTTGTCTTATCTTCATTTAGTGTAAATATTGATGCCTATTTTTGTATTGAATAATAGCATAAAAATGCACAGTGTGTACCATTTCAGGAAAAACAAATGAGCAAAAAAACAAACTCACAAAACTGCAGTGATAAATTAATTTATTAGTTTAAAGCGAAGGCACAACCTTTTCTGTACTTTCCTGTGTGCGAGGGAGCTTGGCTCGTCGCTATGGTAACCACAGGTACACAAACATGGCTGACAAGTAGTGGGGATTTTAAAGGCAGTTACAGCCCCAATTTACAACTAACGGTGTATTTACATCTTTTGTGTCTTGCTAACTCTGCAAGTTTATTGTGAAGCTGACTTTTTATTTTTATTTTTTACTTTAAGTGGACAAAAAGTCACTTCTCGTAAGTTCACCGCGCTAACACAACTAGCAATTTAGCAAACATTAAGCTAAGTTAGCATTAGCTACGCGACAGCAGTGCTAACGACAATGTTGGAAGAAGAAACGAGACAAGAATTGCGGTTTGACCCGAGTGTAAACAGCCACAGACCCGCGTCAGGAAAGTCACAGGTAACAAGGTTTTCCTTTTCAACTTCCAGGAAACACAAAACAAGTGACTCGCGTTGAAGTCTCCTCCTCTTCCTTTACTTTCAGGACATTTCTCATGTGTTGGCAAGCGTCTTCAAGGACCTTTACACCAAAGACATCGTTGGTAAAGACACCGTGTCCAACCTCGTCAAGACAAAGAGTGGACGAAGCAGCTATCATGACAAATACGTTGAGGAGCTTCAGCAGGTGTCCAAACACTGTCACTCACAATGGAAAACTGTACTGTGTGCCTCACAAATCAGAGTCAATAGAAGAGTTTTACAATCATGCAAACCTTTATTGTTGTATTTTGCAACCACACAGGCTCATTCTGAGTATGAACGGTGTATGAAGGAGGCTGACATGCTGGAGAGTCATATAATTGAGGCCAGTGCTCGGGCTGCAGCCATAGACAGGCAGGAATATGAGAAAATGAGGGAGAAGATGGGAGGTGTTTGTGATCTCCAGGGTTTGTTTACAGGTAAGATGAAAACCTTTAGTTGATGTAATATGTGACACTCTATACAGTGCTGTACTGTTTTATTGAAGAACACATTCTGCTTGCTTGATATAATTTATGTATGCATACTGTAGATGAGCTGGAAGTGATTATTAGACCACCCGTTGTTTTCTTCTACAAAGTCTCCACAGCAGGTGTTCAACATGGATCATTTTGTTTGAATTTGATCATAGTTGTTGAATAATTAAGGCATTAAGACATAAAAAAGTCATATAATAATGCAATGGATGATGGTAGAAATATATTGTATTGAACTCATTCAAAATTCATACTATATTTTTTGAGTCACCATTATTTTTTTTGCATAGGCTGTAGTCAACAGATAATCCAAAACTAAATAATCACTCTATAATGCCTAAAACAAGAGAACTGAGAGGGATACAGAGAGAGAGCCGTCAAAACAGCTGTCCACAACAGCCTTATGCAGACAACACAGAGAAAAATCACAAAGAAAGAGTTGGAAAACAGTGGTCACAGAGGTCTAATAATTATTTCCAAAACTGTTTTTACTTTGAAAATTCAAGAAATGTTGTAAAGTTCCTACTGTGATATAATTTCTTACGTCTGTTTACAGTCAAACCAGCCTTTTCGTGGTGTGTAGATAGTGATCTTCTCAAAAAACACCACTTGATCTCCCCCCAGGACTACTTACCTACACAGAAACCACAAGAACCAGCTGCAGGTACATGAGCCTCACTGATAATCATCCTAAATTATTAATGAAAATAGTGTTGTGACCAAATATCTTACATCATTTTTTTTTGTCAGTAAAACCAAATGTTGCCAAACCCACTAACATCCACGCCATGCACATGTCTGAGGAGCCTCAGGATGATGGTTATTCACTGATACCAAGCCCAGAAAAGCCTGTCTCAGAAATGGTTGAGTTTGATCACAGCCTGACCTCTGAATCCAACTCAGATACTACAAAGAGGAAGAAAACTCCCAAAGAGGTGAGGAGTAACAATAATATCTTATGTACTACTGTTACTACTGACTATCGTGCTCCTTCTTTCAAATAAAACCTACAATACTAATTAGTACAATTTAAAAAAACGGTAAACTGTAGAAACAAAAGATTAACTGTAGTGAACCAAATAAACAAAAAATATCACAGAAAAATAAAAGTAGTTGCTCTGGGATTGCAGAGCTGATGTTAAAGATTCTTCTTGTCTAGCATGCTTGAAGGACAGAGACTTGATTGCATTAGTTTTATATGAATATAAAATCTAAACCATTATTGAAAACCGTCAGTGATTTTCAATGTGTTTCGGAAGCCAAACCAGACCAAACCCAGACCAAAGTGGAAGGGTGAGCCAAGCGCGAGGGATCGAGCAGAGGGGTGGGAGAAGCTTCAGAAGCTGAAAGATCGGCGCAGCTTCCTCCGCAATCCACGTTTCCTTTCCCCGAATGCACAGCAGGGCGGCATGTCCCTCATCCAGGCCAGAACCAAAGTGAAGATGGAGCTTGAGAGGAAATGCCTTGAGCAGCAAAGGTACCACAATGTGCTGCAGTGTAAAGGCCTTTTTTATAATTTCCAAGTAAATGTTTAAAATTTTATCAATAGGTGGCAAATATGGTGAAGGCAGACTATTGATTTTGTGAGTCGCATATGAAAATGTTGGGTTTTAGTTTGCGTAATCCAACACGCTTCAGGCAGGCAATGCCTCTTTAATATTAATGGCAAACACGGGTGCCATTTACACCAATGCAAACAACTGTACATCCTTTTGTGGTACAGCACACATGCGTAAGGTGATACTCTGAGCTTTATGTAATTTCACATCTAGTACCTCTGTCAGGCTGCGCACAGCTCCGGCTGCTGCTGCTGCTGAAGCTGGGGGAGGCAATAAGAAGCAGCGTGTCGCACCACATCAAAAACATCGCTCGAGCATTCTCCTGCCACTTTACAGTTTTGATCTTCTTACCAAATGAGGGGGTTAGATTTCTCAAATGCAACTTCACACAGCTCTGAGAGACAAACACAGATAGGAGAGGGCACATCTGAATGTGAGCGAAGACACATCCTGCCGTGACAGCCGAGTGTGCAATGCAAAAAGACAGACTGACTCATATTTTGCCTGCTGGCCGCAGCTAACTGTTACGTAGCTCATCATTTCCTGTGAGCCTGTTTTTTATTGTGAACACACTCAGTTGTTGTTGTTGTTGTTGTGTTTGTGCTCCCTGAAAGGCCCGCTAAGGATCCTGTCCCAATCTTCCTTGCAAAACCCTCAGTGGTTGTTTTTACAGACTACGGTGTGGGACATGTTTATGAGGTGTGTTGCAGAGCAGGTACAACACAATAACATTTTCCCATTAAATTGCTGCAGAGTAACATGTCACATCCTGTCTCGTCTCAGACTACGCTGGAGCTGAAAAACTTGACTTCCTCAAGCCGCCATGTCCGTGTCATCCCTCCTACCACTCCTTACTTCTCTATTGGCCTGGGTGAGCTCCTTTTGGATCTGACTGGATTATGCAGCACCCTTACGCCTGATGTGTTGAGAAAATCATCAAGTGTGTCAAGAGTCAGTGACAGTATCCAGACGGAATAGCAGAGAGTTTTGACAAATAACATAATACATCTCTGGAACGCAGTTTGCGGTTTTTAACATTCCCTTGAGTGCAGCTGCAGTTGTGTATGTGATATTAGCACCCCCTGCTGTATCAAACACTAAGTGATCTGAAGATAAATGGCATCCAATTGAATACAGAGTTATGCATCTTGCCATTGTGATATGTCTTGATAGGAAGATTCCCTGGTGAAGGTGGCGTTGTCGCCCCCGGGATGAGCTGTAAGTACACGCTGCGTTTTGCTCCAGACTCACTTGCCGACTACAAAGATTTCATAGTGGTGGAGACCCAGGCTGAGCAGCAGCTTTTGGTGCCCATTGAGGCATGGCGACCTCCTCCTATACTCACCTGTAAGTTTCATCATCATCTGTCACACTTAAATTGTTGCATGTACATCGGTGTGCTTTATATGTTTCCCTCTATTTTTTTTCAGTACCAAGAGTTCTGGACTGTGGCCATTGTCTGGTTGGAGGAGTTAAGTTTGTTGAGTTTCTGTGCCAAAATATTGGTCTTAGCACCGGGACCTTTTGCATCATCCCGAAGAACCAATGGCCAGCCTCGAATCTCAGGGTAAAAATCTGTCTGACACATTATTCACACTTTCACTGTTTCAGGAATTATTAAAAAAATACAATTCTGTACAGTAAAATAGTAATCATAATCAGTTGTGTGCTTAGAATGTCTGTTTTTTTCTTTCTGTATACAGTCTGTGGCCAGAACATACTTTTCTGAGCAGCAACCCTTTGCACTCAGTCCCTCCCTTTTCGTGCTGCAGCCAGGTGAAGCCACTGTAATGGAGGTGAGTCAGTTATAGAAGCAAATTTAAATTCATGAAGAATAACAATACGGTATGTAGCTGCAGTACTTAATATATACACGCTATAATGATGAGAATAAAACCACAGTTATTGTCAGCACGATCCACGAAGAGCAACTAGGTAACATGATTAATTTTCAGTTTATGTTCCAGTTTTGGAGACTTCTAATCAGCTGACTGTGTGGTTGAAATTCAGTCCCATAAATCCTCTGTGTCTGTGTCTTTACATTTGTATACGTATTTACAGGCGGTTTTCTTTCCCACCGCTGAAGAGAAGAGCTGTCAGGTTTTCACCGTTGTCTGTGACAACTGCCAGGTCAAAGACATTTCTGTTGAAGGTGAATCTTTGCTGTAGAGTTGCTAAGAGCCTTACTCCATAATAAAGGAATTTAGTAGATTTCCTCTAATATTCGGTGAAATGATGTGTTTCTCAGGTGAAGGCAAATTGATTGCCCTTGAGCTCGTGTCTGTATCTGGGGAGAAGGAGCCCCCTGTGGTTGGAGAGCTGCACGATCTCACTGCAGAGCACTTTGTTCGTTTCAGTCCATGTAACCCGCACTCGTTTCAACAGAAGAGGCTTGTCATCAGAAACAATGTGTAAGTTTAACATCCTTACTGTATATTATCACCTTAAAGCATGAAATCTATTACATCTATTCTAATGCTTCTCCACAACCTCGAACATACAATTTAAGTTACTTGTACTTTACTTGAGCGTTTCCATATTCTGCTACTTTACACTTCGACTCCACCACATTTCAGGGGCAAAAATTGTGCTTTTTGCTCCACTACAGTTATTTGATAACTTTAATCCCTAGTTACTATTGAGTTTAATAATATATAATCAACAAGGTTAAACCTAATTGAAATTCATAAGCTACCCAGCAGATAAACTACATAAAGTAGCTACATCACATTTTAAAGCACATAAATGCATCAATAACTGGAATCCAATAGTATACATAATTCTGAAGTGTGCTGCACTACACAATGAGCACCTTTATTTTTTTGTCCTTGAAATATCTTCTGATACGAATGCTTTTGTGCTTTTACTTAAATACAAATTTAAATGCATGACTTTTACTTGTAACAGAGTATTCCTACACTGTGGTATTGGGGTACTTTTACCTTTTTCCATCTCTTTCAACAACATGTACAAACTTCATCTTTTTCCTTTTCAGCCTCAGGATAACAGTGTGAAGGACTCTTTCACTGAAGCACTAGGATTCAAACCCCAGTGTTGGCAGCATTCACATATTTCAAGTGTCCTCGAGTAACAAGACTAAATGCTGATTAACTGCCAGACTCAGGGCTCCTGCTCTGCTCTTGACCCCGTGCTGCTCTTTTTACGACAGCACAAGTAGAAGAAGAGCTCCCCTTCAGGGATCATTAAGCACCACATTACATGTCTGTTTCTCTCTCTTTCCCTTCTCTTCATCTCGGGGATAAAGCCACTTGGAGTTCCCGTTCCACTGGCAGGTGATGAAGCCCAACCTGCACCCTCTGCTTCCAGGGGAAATCCCAGAATCCTCCCATATCCAGCTCCATCACGCTACAGATGATGTTTTCAGTGTCAGCCCCATATCAGGCCTTCTAGCGCCCTGTCAGGAACAAGAGTTTCTGCTCACCTTCTCACCCACAGAGGTAAAGCAGAGAAAAAATCCAATCTTTATTATATCACTGAATATTAAAAATGCTGCTTTTTTTTTTTTTTTTGCACTTTGAGTCTCTGCTTCCAAAACTACTGAGAATGCTTGCTTTGTTAAGTTGAAGGACTACCACAGTGTCTGTCATTTGGTCCTGAGGGAGGTTCACCAGCTGCCACCAGAGCCCAGCGACAGCAGGTAAACCACAGTGGTAGGAATGTGTACTGTAAATGTTAATTAAAAATAAATAAATACATAAATAACATGCACAAAAGACTAACATCACATGTGATGTTTGCCAAACAGAAGCATTTTATTTGTATCTAACAGAGTGTTGAATTGTGTATTTTGGGTGAAATCTAGCATCTTCCAGCCTCTGCAGACTGGCTCCAAGGTGAGCAATGTCATTGCCATGGAGATAGAGGTCAAGGGGTCAACAGAGCCGTACCAGGTCCTGCTGGAGCCCTACGCTGTCGTAATCCCTGGAGAGATTTTGGTTCACACTCCCACTCGCAGGCAGTTCAAGGTGATTTAAGTTAGACATGATGAACACATATGGGAGTTCTATCAAAACAGTGTGCGCCGGGATTGCGTGTATTAATCGTGTTTTCTATGTTGTGTGTGTATCAGATGTGGAATCACAGCAAAACCTTCATCTTGTTTCAATGGGAGAGGATGAGCAGCAGCAGCCACATAATAGAAGTAGAGCCATCTGCTGGCAGAATAGGTGAGTCACACTGTGAATGAGCAGTGTGGTGCAGAAAAAAAGATAATTTAGATTAATTTGGTCATTGATTCAAGCTTCAATTCGGTCTTAAATCTTAACTTTCATGTCTCTGTTTCCAGAGGAAAACGAGTGTGCTGATTTTGATCTAATTGTCACTGGAGGAAAACCAGAGAAAGCTGTGACCAGTTTGGTTTGCCACATACAGCACCACCAAGAGCCTGTGACTTTGCCAGTAGAGGTCTCCTTTAAAGTAAGATTGCATCACCACTCCACATTTCTGTGACATTATTGAGTATTATTTGCCCGTGAGCTATGGCCACATCATGCTCACCCTCTGGTGTCGAATAGGGTCCCACAGTGAGTCTCAGTGTTCCCAGTGTGGACTTTGGGCTACTGAGGCTCGGGGAGCAAACTCAGACCACCCTGATCCTCACCAACACCACCCTGCTGGAGGCTCCCTGGATGCTGGAGGAAAGCCTTAGTAGTCAGAAAGACTGCCAAGACACACAGGTACAATGCACTGATATAGCAGCACACCTGTGATTGATAACATGAAATACAGACGTGTGTTAGTAGCAGGTGAATGTTTATATACACTGTATAAAAAGACATGTAACCTTTTTTTATTCTCATTGTCTGGCATTAAATCAGACTAAACTTTTCCTGTTTTATGTCATTTAGGATTACCAAAATTGTTTCTATTTGCTAAATGCCAGAATAATGAGCAACAATTTTTTTTTAGAGAATTAAAAAAAAAAAAAAAAAAATTCTTCAGAGTCAGAAGTTTACATACATTTCCTTAGTATTTGCTAGCGTTGCCTTTAAACTGTATGATTTAGGTCAAACATTTTGGGTTTCCTTTCACAAGCTTCTCACAATAGTTTGCTGGAATTCTGGCCCATTCCTCCTGACAGAACTGATGTAACAGAGTCAGGTTTATAAGCTGTCTTGCTCCACACATAGCTTGACTCCATGTCAGTAATTTTTATTGGTGCTTAGATCTTAGTGGAGCCATGCAGAGGTGTGCTTTCCCCCTTGGCCTCCTGCAATGTGGATATTTTCTTTCGGCCATATCTCTGCCAGCAATTTGAAACAGAGCTGGAGCTGACTGTGGAGAATGGAACAGGATGGTAAGGATGCACATTTACATACAACTTTATAGTTCTTCTATGTTGCTTTCTTTCCTAAGTCGTGCACATATTGTGAAGACTTCTGGGATACAGTGGCTATTAATATGTCCATTGGTCCCAGCCATGACAGCAGTATTATAAAGAAATAATGATGTTACTCAGTGACAGTGTCCTGCTGATAACAGGTAGCACAACCTGTTTTGTTCCTTACAGTCACCTGTTGGTGCGAGCAGATGTGCAGTCTCCTCAGGTGTGTCTGCTAAACTGCAAGCTGGCCCTCTCTGAACTTTACATCGGAGTCCCTGCCAAGGGTACCGTAACACTTTTCAACCAGACTCTGCTGCCATCACACTTCAGCTGGATGGTATGTTACACTGCTTCTTTTTGCATTAAATCCTGTAGAAAAATAGTGTCTGTAATGTGTATGTTTGCTATTCATAGTTTGTGTGACGGTTCGTGCTCAGTGACTGTGCGGGTGGACCCAAACGAAAAAGGAGACGGGGAGAAGGGTTAAAGGAAACTGGATTTATTAGGGAAGGTGGTGGAGTGATGGGCACCAGGAGGCACAAACAAAGTCCGGTAAATGGGTACTGGTCGTGGGGAATAACCCGGTGGTGGGATCTGGTGCAGGGATGTCAGTCGTGGAGAGGGAGGAGTGGAGTCTTCGGTGTCGTGATCCGAGGAAGGGGGGTCCCGAGGGTGGTGCACAAAGAGCCGGTGCCTGAGAGTGCCTTGGTCCGTGGGGTTTTTCCGGTGCAGAGAGGGGTCCGGTGCTCATGGGGGGGTGCTCTCGTGAAGGCTCTCCCGGTGAAGGTGTCCGTGGTCGTGAATTCCCGTGGGTGACAAACGCTGGAGTGCTTGGAGGTGTGCCGAGTGCTGGAGCCGAGGAGAAGAACTGGAAACAGGCAGAGAAACACATACCATAAACTCGAAGCTAGAGAACATCAAGAATGCTCAGCGCGGTGTAGCAGCTCATGGCCTGACTGTACCCCGAGGTAGGTATCACAATCCTCTGGCGTCGGTCTTCTGTGAGACGCCAGTATTTAAGCAGGGTACGGCTGATGAGGATTCCCCAGATAGAGAGACCTCAGGAGCATGGGGTCCAGGTCAAGCAGGGTGGTCAGCAATGAGCCGGGAGGGCAGAGGGGGAAAGGCCGGAGGGCTAAGAGCACTGGAGGACAGCAGCAGAACCATCAGGAGGCCGGCGATGAAGAAGATAGAAACCCACTGGCAATCGAGCTGGAGACCAGTGGCAGAAACCATCTGAAGGCCGGCGACAGATGAGGCGGGATCCCCTCTGGAGGCCGGACTGGGGGCAGGCTGGAGACGGCGAAGGCAGGATCCCCTCTGGAGGCCGGGCTCGGCGGCGGGACCAGTGTGGTGGGCTCGGCGGCGGGACCCCCTCTGGAGGCCGGACTGGAGCCGGCGAAGGCGGGATCCCCTCTGGAGGCCGGACTGGAGCCGGGAGACGGCGCCGGCGGATCCCCTCTGTGGCAGGGGAGGCCAAAACAGGCCAAGGCTCTGGAACACGAGAGGCTGGGGCAGTCTCTCTGCCAGCGGGACTGTTATCCATCCTTGGCAGGTCCCAGCATCCCGAGGACAGTAGAGACGGCGTCGACCCGCCGGAGAACAGCCACGGTGGCGGCGTCGACCAGTGTGGTGGGCTCCGCGGCGGGACCTCAGGAACGCTCCGCGGCGTCGACCAGTGTGGTGGGCTCGGCGGCGGGACTTCAGTAACGCTCGGCGGCGGGACCTCAG